ACATACAAACACAGATTCACTCAATGCATACCTTACACACAAACACACACTGCTTTCTATCCCTTACACGCAATCACACTGCATCCCCTATACACAAACTGGTATTCCTATACACTACATTCCATAAGAACACAAACACATTAAATCCTCAACAATAACACATAACACATCCCCTACACACATACACTCCACTCCCTGTGAGAGAACTCATGGGTGGGCCTTGTAGGCATAAGGTTTATCGGCGGGCCTTGTAGGTATACTCACGGTCAGGCACTGGGCCCAGACTGTGATCTGTGTAAGGGGCCCCCAAAAAATTATTTTTGTGAGCACTGTTACAAGAGAGCCAAAGAACCTGTTTTAACACCAGACCAGTGGAGACAGACTGCAGCCTGAATCATCATCCTATTGTCCTCATCTGGTTGTAAGTAGGCAAACCAGTATATTATTAGTGGCACTAATCTCTAATTTACCTCACATTAAAGGGACACTATAGTCCCCAGAACCACTGCAGCTTAATGTAGTGGTTCTGGTGTCTATAGCCTGTCTCTGCAGGCTTTTTGCTGTAAACACACTGCCTTTTCAGATAAAAGACACTGTGTGCAGAACTGGCAGATCATATGGGTGGGGTATTGTGATGTCACATGGTGGGCAGAGCATATGGGGGGCGGCAAATTTTTGTTTGACTAGGGCGGCAAATATCCTTGCACCGGCCCTGTTCATGAATGAAGAGGAGGAAACATAACATAGAGAGACACATATATGTCATGAAGGTCATCAAGCTTTCCTTTGGACGTGAGCCGCAGATTTTTAGAACCTAGCAATCCCTTTGCCAATAGTTAATGAGCTGTTTGGAAAAAAACTTGGGCTCTCCTCCGGTACCCAAATTCTGGCCTCTCAGCTACCACAGAGATAATGTGGAGGTTCTATTTGCATATTATCAAACCATCGCCATTTCGAATTTAATGAGTAATGAAAGTATTGGGATAACCTGCCTCCTTTGCTGACAACATATCATTGCCCTCAAAAGTTAAACAGCCTTGGATGATTATTGTGGAAGTGCAAAAGCGGAGCTGAATTTGGGCAACAGATAAGGGTCTATTTACTAAATTACAAGTTACTAGCTAGACATTTGAGGCTAAAATAGCCAAAGTGTGATTTAGAGACATTTTTCCAACTCAACACTTTTTGCCCAAATTTTGACATGTGAATTTCAGCTGGCTAGAATCCAGTGTTTAGGGAATACACCTGCTTGTGTTTATTAAAATCCCATGGAGTTAACTCTTTGAGGCAGTTGAGGTTGAATGGTTGAACAACTGTAAGCGCCATAACTTGCACACACGCATTTAAATGGATGTGAATACTGGAACACAATCAAATTGGCTTAGCTATAGTTTTTTTTTTTATAAATCAACTAATTTGTTTTACATGTGGCAGTATTTTTTACCAACGTGCGTCAACACACTGTTTAGGAAGTGGGTTGAGAAATGCCCCCATGGCCCTCAAAGAGTTAAAGGAAGTCTTTTGTAGCTTAGAGGGCAACTTCCACAATATACATCAAAGGAAAATAAATACATACTGTTGTCTTATCACAGAGGCTCAGATAGTAAACAGAGAAAAAGCCAGCTAATACCCTTTCCCTTCAACTGGTGAATGAAGAGTAAGTCTTTGATGCTGCATCTGTGACCACTTCCAATACCGCATCGTGCATTGTTCAGGATAAGGTTGGTATCACACTTACCACTTTGCCTGTCTCCAATTCTCCATGTGAATTTTAAATTGCACAAGTGTGGGGTGTAGTTAATCTTCTCTGTTTGCGTTGTCAGCTATTGTGTATAAGTAAGTGCCTGCTGGCAGAGCTAAGTAGCATTAAGTCCAAATAAAGGAATCTCCAGCTTTCCAAGGAACGTTGGTTTATATAATAAACTCTTAGCTCACTTTGGAAATGTTTATTTTTTGATATAGTAATACAGAGAGGGCAACCGGACTGCCACAGCTTCCCTGCAACCCTCATTGCCGACATTCGCTCAGGGACTGGACTCAGCTCCGAATTCGACCGTTTCCATAGTATTAACCATCACAGCAGTACAATAAAGTAAGAAAGAGCTAATGCGTTGGGTTCCACCTGGTAAATGTAATATATATTATAAATAAAGGTTTTTTAAAAAAATGAAAACAGTCAGTATTTAATTTTACCTTTTCCCCCCCTTTCTCTATATTTGTTACCTTTTTTGTTACCTAATCTGTCACTTGTATGGGGATTGATTAAAAGGCAACGTAGTGTATATATTAAAGGGACACTATAGGCACCAAGACCTCTTCAGCTCATTGAGGTGGTTAGGTGGTTTTGGTCGCCTGGCCCTGGATGTCCTCACACTCTGCATAAGTCAAATCCCCAGTGGAAAGCATTGCAACATTGCTTTTCTATGGGTAGGGCCTAATGCGCTCGTGGTGTTCGACAATTTTGAGTTCCAGGCAATTCTCACTTTTGTAAATAACCCTAAAAGTGTTTCTCTCTCTAATACATATATTATCTAAAAGATTTGTTAAAACTTACAACCAAGAAGGTTTTAAACAGGTCCTATAGTTGGCACCTTAACCAACTAAGCGATACTGCGTCAACTGTCACCGGTATCTACTGATATATCAATGTAAAATCACAGTTCTACTTACGGTGGGCTGGAGGGGAATTATTGACTGATTTGCATCCATCATTGGATTCATTGTTCCATAGCATTGAACACATTTAGGTTGCAGTTGAGATGACACCTTTAACACAGATAACTGTTCAGGATTAGTTTCATCCCATTAGTACAATCTACTCATTGACCTACTCCTGGTTTATGGCTCACGCCTCCGCAAATGATGTTTATCTGACCTTTCTCCTCTTCTACTGGGTAAAGTACAATCCAACTCAGGATTCCAGTAAACTCCTTTTCTGAAAAAAAACACATCAGTTTGGGTGGAACTTGTAGATACAGTGAGAAATTGGTAATTAATAACCCCATTAAACCATAAACGATGAGCAAAAGTCAAGAGGGGGACAAGAAGATTTGCAAGAATAGAAATTGCACCAACTTGTTATACATAGACAAAATGTGTACAGATTTTTTGTAAACTAAATGGAGTTTCTGTGACTGTTTATATTAAGAGTTCTTTTAAAATGATTTTTATGAAATCATTTTTACAATTTTTTTTACAAACAATAATAACAATTAAAAAATAATAATTAAATAAATAAGTAAAAAAACAGGGAAGAGGGAAAAACGGGAAGGTAAGTTCAACCTAGATGGTATAACCATACATTATTTATATGCTTATATATTATAACATAAAATGGTAATTTGGATATATTGATACAAATAATTATAACAAAATCTAACAACAGAAAATATAGAGTATGGTTTAAGAGTCCAAATTTACAAACGGTATGTTTTTCTCGCAGTATCTTCCCACTTTGTCCAATGATATTTAAGCTGGTTTAATAAATGATGAAAGCTGTCTATGAGCCATTTCATATTTTTTGTTCTTCATTATTAAATGTACAACCTCTCTTTTCTGAGAAAAAAAACAAAGATCCCTGTAAAAAATGTGTTTATTTTGTTCTCGATGGGATGTGCCTGGACCACTGACATCACAATAGATTTTGAGCAGCGTGCAGTTGTCAGTGGAGTACCAATCCCAGGTGTCATTTGGTGATCTAGTGGGGGCTCAAAGCAAGGTATAGTCATCAGAAATCGACAGAAAAACATAGTTTTCCCTATTTTGTACCCAACATATGCCATTACATAAGGAAGCTATTCAATTTATTTTTTAGGCTGACCCCTCCCCCCAAAAAGGTATTACAGTTTTCTGACAGATACCCTCTTTAGGGCGAAAAACCTCTAGCCCAAATGTTGGTGATAACTGCTCATTGCCCTCAGCAATGACGCATTACTGATTCCCATGTACCTACTCTGAGCAAGAAGTCCCTATTTAGATTGGCCTTTTAGACTTAAGGAGACCCTTAGACTTAGGGATACCCCGTGAATATGCAGATCACCAGCATATAAACAAAATCCATTTGCACTAGACTTGTGCATTCAGTTTGAAATGAATTAGCGATTTGTGCACATTTTGTGCAATCATCAATGCTTCCAAACTCCATAACTCAAAAATTCTATATGGATGAATCATTACAAACCAAACAGCCCATGGCACAAAAAAAGATGACTGAGGGAAAAAAAAAAGATGATTGGATTAGTGGACAGCCACTAAATGTTGAGTTTATGAAAAGATCAAGTACGTATTGACCAATAGAGAGAAAAAAAGGAGCAGTAAAAAAAAAAAGCTATTTTATATTTAATAAATATATAATATATCAATTTTGAATTATGATAATTTTTTTCTCACATGGGTTTAATATTTTTGGATAAGCTTTCCAAATTATTTAATATTTTGGATAAACGTTTAAAATTCTTTTAAAAACTATTAAAAAATATATATAAAATAATTAAAACATTTTATGCAAAAATATTAAATCATTTCAGAAGCTTATACAAAAATATTAACTTTGAACCTTGATATGCAAAAACAAATGGTGATAAAATGTGCCTGTATTTATATTATTTATATATTTTGCAGTACACTGATTGGCCCATTTTCATGCCTTTTTGGTTCATTTTCCTGAAATTATTTGCCCAAACTGAAAGCCAAACGGATGAGTCCCAAATCGACAGACATGAATGTTTTTTTCAGACTAATCGATTTGGCCAAACTGATTTTTTTTCACAATGCAGAACTCGAATTAACAAACTTATCCAGCAAAATAAAACAGGAGATGTGTGGACCTAGGACAATAACCCTCTCACTGCTTGCTGCTTTAGAGTCATGTTGGATTGCAGAGAAGGCACATGCTCCATTCAACACTTCAGTGAGGATAAGCAATTGCAGTGCCTACAGCATCCCTCTCAGTTGAACTATATGGGACAGCCCAATTAAAAGCATTAATGTGTGCACTCTTTTAAATTAGATCCTGTTTTTATTTCATTAGAACCTTGAAATGTGTGGGTCTGAATCTAGAAAAATGATTTTGGCATTTTGGACAGGTATTCAATTGGCCTTATGATATGCAGTTACTACCTTTCTGCAGAGTTTAGAATTTACGTCAACCTACATTCAAATTCCATGGGATGAAAATCCTTTATTATGTTACATTGGCAATACACTAATAGGGTTATTCACTAAACACTGGATTTTCAGTGAAAATGACCGAAATCGGTGTCTGGATTAATATCAGTACTTTTGAATTTGAATCTGATACATTGTATAGGATTTGGAATATCCACAGAGCAGTTGTTTTACTAAAACTCAGAACTGAATACATCCGTCAGGATGCACATTCGCAAAAATATCATTCTGAGTACGATTTGCCTGCTGACAACGCAAATCACTGTCCACCCCCAGTGCCCCCACCCGCTGCCCACAGGCAAATAGTTAGAATTTTTTAAAGTCCGGGTCTGGACTTCAAGCATTTGGGCCGGATTTCAGACATCCAACAGTGTTTGGTCTTGCTAAAATCTGGACATAATCAGGGTTATTTTGTAGTCTGAAGGTCCATGGATGTTTTTTCCCAATTTGATTTAAGGTTTGGAGAGAGGTGAAGGGCTCTGTAGACTTAAACGGTTAAAATTAAGATTTTTTTTTTAAATAAAGAGAGAAAAAGCTTAGGCATTATCTCTGAATGAATTGTCTAAATTGTGTCCTATCCCAGGGAAGATTTAAAAGCAGCATTGTGGAAACCATTTTATATTTATTTATTACTGAGAAGAGATGAGCTCAGTTTGTGGTCTAAGGTATTGCAATTTTCCATTCATAGTCATCCAGACATCTATAGAATCTTTAAACCAGCTGTTTCTGTCTTTAGTCTGCCACGGAGTGTCTTTCTCAATGTCCGCAAAATGCATGACATCAGCTCAGACAGACATTGTCCGTTCATGTCAGTATATGAGAGTAACATCTGGTGTGCTATCATAACAGACATGGGGAAAGCCTACAATAAAATAAATCACTCCCTACCCCTATAATTACAACTTTCCATTAACCATTTTGATGCAAACAAAGGGCTTGATTTTGTCTGGCAGTACAGTTGTTGTCACTTTAAAATCTAACTATACTTTGTTGTTGTTTTTTTAGTGTTGTTTGTTAGCAAATAGTTTTGTCACCTGAACGCTACCATGTGCTTTATTGTGCCTTAGTTGGCATATCGTGCCATTTACTTTTGTCTTATGAGCCTACATTCCTTCTACTCGCTAGTCTGACCAACACTGCATGCATGAGGTGTTGGATAAAAATAGATTGAACAGGCTCATTATGTACCATTTACCAAAATGAAAAGTAATTTACAGCAGTAATTCTATATTCTAGAGCAGTGATGGCAAACCTTTTTGAGCCCAAGTGCCCAAACCGCAATACATGCCAACCTTTTTTTCTCAAAGTGCCAAAATGGCAATTAAACCTGAATACTGTGGCTTAAGTTTAGAAAAAACAACTCAAACAGTTGTCCGAACTAATTCTCCTCTTCTCTCCCCCCCCAGCATCTTCCCTTCTCTACCCACAGCATTTCCCCCTCTCCTCCTCTCCTCTTCTCCTCTTCTCCCCCAGCATCTCATCCTCTCCCCTTCTCCCCCCAGCATTTCCTCCTCCTCTCCCCCAGATTCTCCTCTACTCTCCCCCAGCATCTCCTCCTCCTCTCCCTCGCAGTCCTCCATCCCACTCACCCACCAATGATACAAAAGCAAAGTGGGCGCCTGCCGTTTTGGGCAGGCAGGTGCCTACTCTCCATTGCCGTCTGGGGGGGCCTAAGGCTGCCGACTGGCGCCTGTGGCGCCCCCATAAGGTGTGCCAGCTCTGAGTAGCGACCTATGGCTGCGTGCCAACAGAGAGGGCTCAGTGTTCCAGCTGTGGCACGAGTGCCATAGGTTCACCATCGCTGGTCTAGGGCATAGCAGAAGGAGCCGATGTGGAGGTGTGTAAGGAAGGGAGAATGGGGAGGAGAAATATAGACAAGGAGGAAAGGTTAATGCATTGTCTTGGGGGAAAAGGTTTTTAATCATAGTGTTTGTGGATTACTTCTCCATGGTGCACACCGGCCTACAGTCAGAAAATTAAGCGAGAAACAGTGAAACAGCAGTCATAGATTGGGGAAGAAATCCAGCACATCAAACAACTAAACACAGCAAAAGAAAAATAGAAAACATGCACGCTGCCCTGAGAAGAAACACATGTGATCAAGAAATATATAAACATTCATACAGTAGATCTCGTATAGAGCAATTTTTAAGGGCACTAGCTTATATTGGGACTTGTGTTAGTAGACAAGATAACTCAGTCCCTTCCCATATCATATTCACATACTTATACTAAAAAGTCATTAGTCACTCAATAAAGCATTGCAAATATGTAGCAAATATAGCATAGTTGAAAATTGATCAGAATTTTTTTTTTTTTTATTAACTTTTTATTCTGGTCTAAAATCTGTAATTCCCTGGTCAATCCTCCTTAACGTCTGGTTTAGGCAATAATCCTGTTGATGTCCTAATTGCTTGTTCATGGTCCATGCAGTGTCCTTAATAAACTACAATGACTGTGCCTGCATACAAACAAATTAACTGACCATGGGAGTGGCAGTATAGTGTAATTAAGAAAGAATAATAGAAAGCTATTTTGGTGAACATGTCAATATAAGTGATGCTGCATGGATTAATTACATACTGGTTGAGGGTGATAAGATTTGTAGTCCAGAAACTGCAGAGAGGGGGAGTGGGTGCAAGGGAGCACTGACTTACCTGCTGTTCCAGCTCCTGTCTCCCGGTAGCATCAGCACGTAAATCAGT